CTAGAAACATCATGGTCTGTAAGACCCCGTCTGGCCGGAGGGGGATTCGAGATAAAAAACCAGAGACAACTGATTTGAACCACGGGGCTGGCTCCGATTGAAGAAACGGCGAGAGGGTAGAAAGGACTATCGTGCTGGGGGTTCTGCCGTGGCTTAGTCAATATAAATATACACTCCTGGCAGTAGCTTACTCTTCGATCAGCTTGGTAAGGCCACGACGATAATGTAACTTTTGGTCATCGAGCATCCCTATCGAATTGTAACCTAGATCCGAAAGCCCGCTGATCATATCACTTAGAATACGACCATGGACTACAGGCTGGATGCTCGGTCGTGAGTCAAATATTATATCGGTAAGTGCTATTATGATCTTCTCGAGAAGGGTTTCGTCTTGCGGCCTTTCGTGCGCAGGAGCTTGCTCTTGCTGGGCGATGACGCCTGCGGGCAAGACCGATATGACTCTTTTCTGAAGCGGGATCGCAACTCCCCGCGAAAGAGAGGGGTAGATACCCTCTAGAGAGATCAAGTCCAGCAGCGCATGGAGGAGCCGCCGTCGCTTGGCATCTTCGAGTGCAGCATCCTCTGCGTCTGCCGAACTGTGGCGGAGGGCCTCGTTATCGGCATCGCTCGGTGGTGTCACAAAGGCGGTATGAACGGAGCTTAGGATCTCCAAGGCCTTGCCAATGACAATCCTTCGTTTGGGCACGTCTTCTCCACATGTCTCAAAGCTGTTGCTGTCTAGCAGAATGTCCAGGAGGGACTTTCCGCGATGTTTTTGGATTTCCTCTTCACACTGGGTTAGCCTCGACATCAACGGCACGGAAGGGCTATCAGGTCTGCATACCTCTTTGGAGAACAGGATCCAGAAACCTGGTGGCAGCCGCAAAGGCTTCCTTCACCCGCAAAGAATCTCCCATGATTCTGGAAACGGGAGAACTGGGGTTGGCTGTATAATCATCTCATGGAATCATTCTTTCTTCCTACATCATGAACGGGTGAACCGATGGAGAGATTATCTAAGCGGGCAGGGGCGTGACGAGCGGCTTCCGCGTGCTTCCCTGACTAACTGGATCCGGTTAGAGGCCGCCACTGGTGGGTTGCAGATTAATTCTTCACCCTGCAATGATGATCAGGGACTGTACGGAGGCTGCAGTGTACTTACTGTACCTAGTATAATATACTGCCGGCTCAAGTCTTCTTTCTTCTCCTCTTGCCTGGGAAAATCAACCTCGGGTCTGTCAATCAGCAGCGTTTGGGTCAGAGTAAGGATTAAGAACGGTTTTATCAACGAAAGGGAAATCTTCTTATCAAGTCACTCCGTCTAGCGGTGTCTCGTTCCTGTGTTTTGAGAAGGAAAAAGGAGTAAAACCCACTGTCACCGGCTAGTACGTGAACTCTATGCCGACAGGACCACACTGGTATAGCCGAGCTTTTACCAAGAGCGCTATGCCGAAGCTTGTAAAATTGCTTAATCAGTGGTCTGTGGACTGCGACCAGAACCCTGACTAGACCCAACCAGGTTGAACCAGGTTCAACCAACCCAAGGCCAGGGAATCTTCAGGCGAGCCGAAGGCGCCATCAGGACCCTGAAACGCAAGCCATTGGACCACCACAGGTAAGACAAGCGGTTTGTGGCTTTACTGTACCGAAGAATACCCCTATACTGGTCTGCACTGCAATTGATATCAGGGTCGAGTGATTGCAAAGGGGTCCAGCTATGCCGTTTAAGCTTAGCCTTGACTTCATGTAGAGTGAGCACTCGGAGCGAGAGTGATTCGCAGTTGACAAAAGGGGAACAAGATATTGAGCAGCACTGTGATAGGCTCACCCAGCAGGACCATATAAAACGTCAACATGGCGCTCGAGGGTAATCAACAGCACTCGATCATTCACTCCTTCTCTCAATCACTCTCTACCACTTTCGTTTCTTTCGCTTTCTTTTCTTATAGAAACACAGACACTTTCCTTAAACCACCATGCCTTCCTTCTCTTCTCTTGTGGCCTACAGCCTGGCTGCTGGGGCTACTCTTGTGTCCGCTTCCCCCATAGAGGCTCGCGGCAGTTGCACTTTCACCACCGCTGCTGCTGCGAAGGCGGGTAAGGCCAGCTGCTCGACCATTGTCCTCGACAACATTGCTGTTCCTGCCGGAACCACGCTGGACTTGACCGGCCTCAAGAGCGGCACCCATGTCACCTTCGAGGGCACCACCACTTTTGGCTATGAGGAATGGGCGGGTCCCTTGATCTCAATGAGTGGCACGGACATCACCGTTACCGGAGCCTCCGGTCATCTCATCAACTGCGATGGCTCCCGCTGGTGGGATGGTAAGGGAACGAGCGGAAAGACCAAGCCCAAGTTCTTCTACGCCCACGGGCTGGACTCCTCCTCCATCACTGGACTCGAGATCAAGAATACCCCTCTCATGGCCTTCAGTATCGAGGCAAACGATATCACCCTCACCGATATTACCATCAACAACGCTGATGGCGACAGCCTTGGTGGCCACAACACCGACGCATTCGACGTGGGCAACTCGGTTGGCGTGAACATCGTCAAGCCCTGGGTCCACAACCAGGACGACTGTCTCGCAATCAACTCCGGCGAAGTATATCAGCCTCTTTCTCCGGCCCCCTTTCTGATCAAGGCAGTCACTAATCCATGGTCTACTGCTTAGAATATCTACTTCACCGGCGGAACTTGCATCGGCGGCCACGGCCTCTCTATCGGCTCCGTGGGTGGCCGTTCCGATAACACCGTCAAGAACGTCACGATCGAGCACTCCACCGTGTCCAACTCTGAGAATGCCGTCCGCATCAAGACCATCTCCGGCGCCACGGGCTCTGTTTCCGACGTCAAATACACGAACATTGTCATGTCCGGTATCACCGACTACGGAGTGGTCATCCAGCAGGACTACGAGGATGGCAAGCCCACCGGTAAGCCTACCAACGGTGTGTCGGTCACGGATATCACACTGGATGGCGTGACCGGTAGTGTTGCGAGCGGTGCCACGGAGGTCTACCTCCTGTGTGGCAGCGGTAGCTGCAAGGATTGGACCTGGACTGACGTCAAGGTTACTGGCGGCAAGAAGTCCAGTGCTTGCAAGAACTATCCCTCTGTTGCGTCTTGTTAAGTTAGGGAGCTTCGTCGGCCTAGTCTGGGGGCTACTTGCTTAGTACACCCATTTTTCAGTGACTCACTGAGTCTCAGCTGTATTTCAAGCCATGTCAGTCATCTACTGTACATACCCCTTTTTGAGTAACCTATCTTCTATAATCATATATCCACAGTATATAATCTTTTTCCTATCAATAACTGAGTGTAGAATTTCAATAGATTTCCCATCTTTCCCAGTAAACCCCAAGGCCAGGATGTTGCCACAACATTGGCACAATAGATAATACGCACCTTCGGAGCAGCTTACGGACTCGACGATCCACAAGATGTGTACTCAGACCAAACTTTGGCTAAGCATTATCCTCAAGACGCAGACCATACATGTGGTTCATGACTGACCGCAAAAAGATCCCCGCCGGACTACGCGGCACAAACTACACCAACAACCTGAAGGATCACAGAATAAATTAATTGTCTCACTCCGACGGAACAATGTCGCTGAAACCTAAATCATATCTATAGTATCATGAACTACGCTCCTTAAATCAGCGCCAGCGCTAGTCTCAGCTTAGCGTCAGAAGCCAAAGTTATTTAGAGTGTGCCGAGCCCATTTGGAGCAGGATCGTGTCGATCATGTTCACTCCCATGCAAACTTACACATCTATGTCCACTATGATCCAGAGCAATCCTGCTGATATGGCACGATGGCTCCGTCAGTCAAGGTAGGCCGCGTAGATCACCATTTTGGGAAGATCGGTACAGCTGTTCCCCGATGATACAGCCCTTCCGATCGTGGAGACCGTCCTCGAGAACGGATCATTCGACGAGGGGGATGTTTTCCAGGGCATCGGAGGTAGAGCAGCGGTGTACAGTATACTAAACTTATAGTCCAATGCTTCACAATGAGGAACGGGATAGTACGTACTCGACCATGCTCCCTCCTTTACAGCTCAGCTCAACCCTACAATATAAAAAGGGCAAGAAAGACAACCAACCCCCCTCCTCTCACCCTGTCTCACCAGCATTCCTCAATTGCCTCCCCTCTTGCAACCAACCTCTTATTCCTCTCCACCAACACCCCAAGCACCCTCGAGCAAAACCACAATGGTCCAACTCTTCACCCTTGGCCTCCTCCTCCTCGGCGCCCTCGCCACCACCACCCAAGCATGCACCTACTGCCAATGCGAATTCGCCAACAGCGAGCATTGCTGCGTGTACTCGGTGAGATCCATCCCCAACGCCCACAGCATGTCACACCAATGAGGACTGGTTTATCGCTAACGCTACTCGGCCATCGTGTCCAGGACGCAAGCGCCGGAGAGCTGGACTGCGCGTCCATCTGCGCCAACGCTCATCGCGCGGATGGGGTCAGCAACTCGGATGGAACGGCCGGCACCGCCTGCAATGCTGGGGGGAAGTATGAGTGTATTAGTGCGTTCACGGCGTTGGATCGGACGCCTTGTTATACGGAGTAGATTTTGAGGGAGCCCGGGGGAGAAGGGGGTTGGTGGTTGGGTTGGGTTGTGGGGGCGTCTTGGGGATTAGGATAGTTGGTATAGTAAAGGGGGAGTGTCGGTTAGAAGTTAGACTCGTTTTGTTCTTGGTTGGGAGATATTCGGAGCGTCATTGTGTGCTGGGTGAATGTTGCTTTGGGGGGGTAAATGGGGTTGTTTCTGGTATCCTGTGGAGCGGTTTCAGAAGTAGGGGATAACTCATTCTTCTTTCGGGACAGTTCATGGGCATTAGAATCACTAGGTATGGCTTGATAACCGTACGGTGGAGACAGTATACGAAAGGTATCCGATCTGACTTCTAATGAAAAGTACACATTGGGTGGTGCGAAAGACGGCAATTGATAGGTAGTAGCTTCTAATATACAAGGGGGGTATCTCTATCTTCCGGTGCTTATAGCTATCTACAATATCTGCAGCGGAACAGTCATTGACACTCTGCTTCTCCCCCACGCACCCGGGGCCCGATAACAGATATCGACTCTCAAGGCATACACCCGAGAGATGAAGCAGTGGCTGAATGTTGGGGGGTAGTCGAAATCACCAGGAAGCTCCACGGGCACCTGGATTGTGGATCTGAAACTCGGCGAGGTCTCATCATCTGTGCTCTTCGGCTGCCACTTTAGAGGGCCGGGCTGCATGTCTGCTAACGACACCGGGTATGTATAATAGTTCTGGTGGCGGCCCCAAGTTACCGGATTGGTCAAGTCGGGAAAGTCTGACCAAGGCTTTGCGCCGAAGAGGGTGATCGCTTGGAGCTCGACTTTGATGGCTGACAGTTTTGGCGGAGGGGCACCGGATAGGGCTCTGTAATGCAGGTCGATGGGCACCATTCTAAAAGGAGCCTTTCCTGGTGCTATCGCTGTGGGTTGGACTGCTTGGGCTGACAGAACACCCTGGAGTGCTCTGGAAAAACCCCTTGTGATTGCAACTTCTCGCCGCAGGCAATAGAATTTGCTTTCCCGTGGCACGAGGACCGGTGCTCGCTCCACGCGCAACGGACGAATGTTTATCAAGTGCTCCCATTCCACAATGGGGGCTGTTGTCCCGGCCTTGAAAGACTTCTTGCTTATGCGGAGAGATATGTGGTAAACAACTGAGGCTGTTTCAGGAGCCATATCATCCTTGCCATGTAATGACTTCTTCCGGTGGCCTAGTGTTCCAAGACTTGGCGGAAGGGAGAGATGTTCTTCATGTACTTGTCCATGACGACAACTATGCTGGCAGGCTTGAAGTGGTAGCGCGCAAGGAACCACAAACTCAAAGCGTAGACAATACTCGACTCCGGCGTCAAGGCCTTCCGCTCGTTCGGAGGGATCCTCAAGTGGCTGGCTCATGCGCAGAAAAGTGGTTGATGCTATTGGTTGTGGTAACGGCACTGCGTTCTCACTAAGGTCCACCTGTACATTCACCTTGCCTGCCGGACTGTTAGTGAGAGTGCTTGTCAAGATAGACAATGTTTAGTACCTTCACATATAAGATCGAACTGGAGTGGAGAAGAGCTTCTATGGCTTGTGACCAAAACACTACCTCTGATTGTCTCCCCAACGCTGAAGGGCTGGGAAGGGGTCTCCAGGTGAAACCGAACACGGAAGTTGGATTTATGAAGCATTGAATCATTTCATGCTTGTTAGTATCCCAGGACATCCTGGCATGATTTGCCTGGATATATTTCATGTTTTATTGTCTGATTCATCGAATGCTCGGCATATTCACTGAACCTGCCGAACCAAAATCCAAATCATATTGCTCGGCAACTCAACCTCGCCTATAACGTTGCTCGGTTGCTGATATTATTCTGCCGTTGATGTTGAAATCAGTGGACATCTTGATAATGACATGCACCACAGTGGCAAGTTATAGTCAGAGACCAAAGTAGCCTTGACTCCTTGATAAATTTGTTGCGAGGAGTAATATGAACTTGCTGTAGATCTCAGCTGGGGTCGGCTGGTTGCGGATATGCCGATGCTGAGTAAGGCATGCTGTCATCGAATCTCCTGTCGGCCAAAGATCAACTCGCCGACTATCCGCCACAACTCGTTCACTTCACAATCGATATTCTCACTGGGTCATTGAAGCAATCCTAGTATCCATGCCTGTTGTCAAGAATCCACCGAAAAGGCTCAACAAGAAACCTGTAGCGTATGTCCTGAAATTCCCCGAATGCAGGTGCAGTGTTTGACCTGATCCGTTCGGCACAGCTGTAATCGCTGTCACTCTCTCAAAGTCAAATGTTCAGGTGAACAGCCTTGCTCAAGATGTCGGCAAGCTGGGTGTGGGGGATCCTGTCAGTATGCCGTCCGCGATAGAAAGCTCAAAGTTCAGGAAAGGTATCTTACCTTTTTCCCCTCCCTTCTTCACTTTCCCCACTTCAATCACGTCTGATCCTCGACCATTCTGGCCAGTTACATTGATGAGATCCTCTCCGAGAATTCTCAGTTGAAAGAGCAAATACGCGCTCTCAGCACACCTCATAGCTCTCCTTCCAGCTCTGTACAACTCTCTGTGCCGTCGTCTGATACATACCCTTCAGTCCAGAACCCACTCATCGGAGATCGCGCTTGGTTCTATCCATACGACTCATCCGCCCCTCCCATATATATGGGAGAAGCAGCATGCACAGCGTTCTCGACGCGATTGCGTCAGTTTCTTACAGGAGACCCAAAAATAGCTCACGTCGCGCGAACTCAGTATACGCCTGAGTCTTCCCTGCTCGAAGGCGCAAGTCAGTGGCCTGGACTTGCCCAGGCTCGTCTTCTAGTCCGCATCGCTTTCAATCAATTGAGTCGTGTCTACCATCTAGTCCTCCGTAAATCGACCCTCGAGCAGCTGGAGTCTGTCTACCAGATCCCCTCACTGCGAGATGATCCCGCCTTAACATGCAAGTTCTTCGGGCTCTTTGCGCTGGGTGAAGTATATTCCTCCCGGTCAAGTGCATCGCCCACCAGCAAGGTCCCAGGAACGAAATACTACGTTCGAGCAATGAGTCTTATACCCACCATGCCGGAGCGGCCAGGGATGATATATGTGGAGAGTCTATTGTTGTTGGTAGGGGTCTCCTACATTGCCTGTGAGAAGGAAAAGCTAACTGGCTACTAGTCTCTATACTCCTACTTCCTCAACCGAAGGCATTCTGGGTATATGTTGATAGGCAGCGCGATGCGATTAGGTCTAGTTCTTGGACTCAACCATAATATCCCCCTACAACAGTGTGCAAATGCTATAGAACGTGAACACCGAGTACGACTCTGGTGGGCAATCTATGTGTTTGATCGAATGTTTACATCGAAAATTGGGTTTCCATTGCAGATCCGCGACGAAGACATTCATGTTGATTTGCCAGCAGAGGTTGCTGATCCCACTGCCCAGGAGCAGTTCTCAGATACCGCATACCTAGTGGCTAGCATTCGACTGTCTCGCATTATAGGACAGACGATAGACAAGGTTTATGGCAGGAAGCACCACATAGAGCCATTCCTGCAGCGAGAGCAGCAGTTGCTACTTGCTTTACAAGATTGGCTGAAGTTGCTCCCAGAACATGTACGCTTACGTCAGGAGGACAGCGCACCTCCCAAGCACATTGTCTCCCTGCATTTACAATTCAATCAGGTAAGCATCTGCCTTTCTTTGAAATGAACTACACTTTCTCATCACAAGCATCAGTGTGTCATCCTAGCCACCCGCCCGATTCTACTTCACGCTCTTTTCCAAAGCGGCCAGCGAGAACCCTCTGAAGACCTTCCACAGCCCGTGATTACAGTCAGTGAAGCATGCATTCACGCTGCGCGGCACTCACACTCTTTGATCATTGAAGAATGGGTTAATGGCTCCTTGCCAATGTATGGCTACTTCTATGCCCAGTATTTGTTCTCCTCATGCATCGCGTTGGTGATCTCAGGGCTCCTCCCCTCTATTGGAAACCCTGCGGATCTGGAGGCCTTGGAAACGGCAACCGAGATCTTGCACCGAATGAGCGACCAAGGCAATCTCGCCGCTTCAGAGTTCCATGAAAACCTTAAACGCGTTAAGCAGGCTTTGCCCGCCAACTCGGATAAAGCACGCGCGGGACAAGAGCCCCGTAGCCATACACCAAGGCTATCTATTCCATCGGTCCAAGGAATAGTCGCAGACCCGGAACTAGAGAGTCATAATGACGGAGTGTTGCCCCCCGCAAATTATACTACGGAAATGGCATTCCTGGAGCCAACAATGCAAGACTTCCTTGGCACGTCGGATTACGATATGAATCTTGTCAACCCAAATGATCTGCAAATAGACGGCACAGAAGACTTCGACATGTGGCCTGGAATTCTGTGGGCTTCCTGAGAAAATGTCTACCTAATTCTCGGACGCTTTGCTTATCAAGAAGCGCTACTACCGCGTATGCTAAAGAAAAGTTATCATCCGCTGATGGCTTATTCCTTTTGACCCAGCCTGAGATAAAATACAGGGACAAATAAGCGAGAAGAAAGAGGATTCAAGACAACCATCTGTTGTAACAGTCTCGACGACCAGTGCCCATCAGGCAGTGCTGCACCCGTTTCAAGGTAAAGTCCTAGTGCACAGACAAGATCAGCTCTCGCAGTACCTATTCTGATCAGCAAGTGTTGAGTGTGTCTGAGTCTAGGCGTAAGTCAGCCCTAATCGATGACATATTAGACGCAAAGACGTTATCTTCAACCCCGCATCTGATACAAGCTGGGCACAGATCGACAATAAGCAAATATGGAGAGGGTAGGGGTTTCTCCCCCACAATCTTCATTGCTTTGTACAGTCCTGTCCATCTCAGAAACTCATTCATTTCTTCGTCTATCTATCTATATTTCATCATGGCACTGCGTTTGCCTCCAAAATACGTTTTCGCCTCGGTCCTTGTCGCCCTCGGTGGTTTCTCCAACGGCTATGACACGGGCTCGATTGGCGCGCTGCTTTCCATGGCACAGTTCAGCCAATCGATAGGTCCACTGTCCCCGTTCCTGTTAGGATTCACGGTCGCGCTCATGATGCTGGCGGGTGTCCTTCCATCTCTCATAGCCGGTCATATGGCGGACCGATCGGGTCGACTGCGAATAATCTTGCTTGGTGCGGCGTTGTTTGCGGTCGGGTCACTTCTTCAGGGCATGGCACCACGGCTGGCGCTCTTCATGGCAGGCCGAGCACTAGCTGGGGCCGGTCAAGGCATCTTTCTCGGACCCATGAGCGTCTACATATGTGAGATTGCCCCCTTTCGATTCCGCGGCGCTCTCGCGGGACTACCGCAGTTTTTTGCCGTAACGGGCACCTGTGCTGGCTACTTCACCTGCTACGCTACCGTTGCTATTCCTTCTAGTATAGCCTGGCGATTACCACTGCTTGCTCAATGCTTTTTTGCCTCTTGCCTGATTATCAGCTGCCTTACTCTACCCGAGTCCCCCCGCTGGCTGATCCTCCACGGGAGACGAACTGAGGCTCGACGCTCCTTGCAGCGTCTACAGTTTCCTTTGGACGAAGTCGAAAGCAGCTTCACTGCTACCGAGCACTTCTCCAATCTGTCGCCCTGGCAGAGTTTCGTGCTGCTGTTCTCTCGAGCGTATCGACCACGCACTGTGTTGGGACTATTTGTCTTAGGAATGGTACAGCTTTCGGGAATAGACGGGGTTCTGTATGTGAGTACTCGGTCTCTTCAATGGAGACAGATCTTTGCGCTTCCCTTGCAGCCACGTAAGTGACTAACAAGAACCCAGTACGCGCCCACCCTGTTCGCCCAGGCCGGCCTATCTTCCTCGACCGCGTCATTTCTAGCCTCAGGGGTATCTGCGATCCTCATGCTGGCCGTCTCTATTCCTGCCTTCCTGCTGGCAGATCGCTGGGGTCGTCGTACATCGGCCATAACGGGAGGGCTTGTTCTCGCGACGTGCATGCTTCTCATCGGAGGCCTGTATGCTGCTGGGGTGGTACATCAGACCGGTGCGGCGCGGTGGGTGGTCATCACAGCAGTTTATGTGTTCGGACTAGCATATTCAGTCAGCTGGGCAATCATGAGCAAGATCTACGCCAGCGAGATCCAACCAGCACATGTGCGCGCGTCGGCCAATTGCGTGGCACAAGCGTTGGCTTTTGTAAGACTTTCCCCCTTCCTTTTCTGTCTTTCTTTAGGGGATCTGTAACTCATGAGACGCATGCGTATTAGTTCACGAATTGGTTGGTCGCTATTATCACTCCAATTATTCTGGATAAATCGCCCTTCGGCGTGTATTTGCTATTCGGTGGCTTGGCGCTAGGCACCGTCGCCTTCCTGGCGGCTTATATGCCCGAAACCCGCGGCCGCTCTCTGGAGGAAATTCAGGTCGCGTTCCAACAGCCAAGCCTGCAACTGAGGGACCTGAAGCGATATGTGCGGGAGCTTGTCACCTTGCGGGCTCGCAGCAACAACTAGGCATTGTGGACGCTCTGGGTAGAAACAAGTGTTGTTAGACACGCATGAGAAAAAATGGTCGTGGAGCCTTCAGGGTCCATTGAGTGGGCCTCGTCCTAAAATGTCACAGCAAAGCATACGTTTGGCCAGAAATGTCAGAGTGAGCCGGAGCTCGAAACGATGGATAATTTTTCTTTATTACTCTTTAGATTAACTTTGAACTCTCTCGGTTAATGTCAGAGTGAGGGGTCCTGTTTCTGCTGCATCCCGGGTGAATGTCGGAGAAAATGATGCGATTACCGGGCGCAGAAGATGCGTTGCTAGCTCGACCATGCTGCAGCTGAGCTCAGGATGACGATGACCTTCACACAGGCCGAGGGATATGAAGCGTAAATCGTGAATCCAATGCAATCTGGTGTATTCAAGCCAAGCTCCGCAGAATCGTTTCAGTCTTGCAATTTCAGGCTGCTCTCATTTCTTGCTTGTCTTGAGCGAAGGCGTCCATCCCGGGAAAGAGGTGTGGGGGTGGCATGATTCATAATGAAAGTGCGGATCAATCTTAAATGATGACAGTCAGTGGTTCGAAGAATTTATCCACAAATTAACGAGAACTCTCCGGTGGCACCCCACAGTCCAGCCATCCGCGAAGCTTGGACTGATTGGGTTCTGGGTCCAGGGTCCTTCCGTCATGGCGAGGCACCACATTGCTCCATTACCGTTGCGATGATCTCAATGAAGCGAGTGGCCTCGATACCACACATCAGAAATCCGTTCCTGCATGGGAGTACCCATACACAGGTACGACGGTCAGATGATCACCACCCGAAATCGACGAGTGTAGCGGGGAAGATAAAGAGAAATTGGTACTCCGTAAGTTGTAACGGAAGCCTGGAGGAAGAAGATGCAGGTGCGGAGAAGCAGAAGACCCCCGCAGCAAACAAACCACCAGCGGGTCTAACCCAACGGGGCACTGCCCCTGTGGAGGATCGACAGGCCGCTTTCCTCGTTAGTCTCTTGCTCTTCTTCCACCACCATCACTCCATCTTCTCGCTAGACTCAGTTGGCCACCGTTGATTGCCTGTATGCCTGTCTCTAGTACCTTTCGTTTTAATATGCGAGTCCCACTTCCCCTCTCTTCAACCTCGCGCCATATGATGTCAATGCGGCTGGTTCACAAACGAGGGTCGCGGCCCGGCTAAGATCCCAACGATTTTGGCCAGTATTCAGCCTACACAAGAGGGGTTGCCGAAGGCAAGCAAAGGGGGGGGGGGGATAAAATGCGTCACTTGCCCCCCCTGTTTTGCGGGGAGGAATTCTACTCTGGACCACACTGGGTACGGCAGTACTGTACCAATTGCTCTGGGTCGATACAGCTTTTGCGGCAAGCTCTATCTAACCCAACATGAGGTTCTTACCTGTCTGTGGTGCTGCCTTGCTGGCGGTGCACGCAGCTGGCGCAGCGGTCAAGCATCGCTTCAATGGCTTTACTCTCACCGAGCATCCTGACGCAGCGAAGAGGGATTTGTCTCAGAAATATGTACGTTGCTCAGCTAGAGACGAGACAATCGACATTGACTGACTGAGGGGAACAAAAGGTCACATGGGATGACAAGTCACTTTTCATCAATGGGGAGAGAATCATGATCTTCAGCGGAGAAGTTCATCCATACCGGTCGGTCATTCCACAGCTTATCTTCTGTATCGTTTCTGACGTTTCGAAAACAGAATCCCAGTTCCCACCCTGTACATCGATATCTTCCAGAAGATCAAGGCTCTCGGCTTCAACACGGTTTCCTTCTATGTCGACTGGGCTCTTCTGGAAGGCAAGCCGGGCGAATACAGGGCGGACGGCGTTTTCGCGCTCGAACCCTTCTTTGAAGCCGCTGCTGAGGCTGGAATCTACCTTCTCGCCCGTCCGGGACCGTACATTAATGCCGAGGTTTCTGGAGGAGGTTTCCCCGGTTGGCTGCAGAGAGTCGATGGAATCCTTCGTTCGAGTGACAAGCCATACCTGGAAGCTACTGACAAGTATGATTTGTGTTCTGTTCCCCTTACACAGCAGCATTTCTGACAGTTATTAGCTACATCGCGCACGTCGCCGCAACCATTGCCAAGTACCAGATCACTAACGGCGGTCCTATCATCCTCTACCAGCCTGAGAACGAGTACTCTGGCTCTTCGGGCAATGTCACGTTCCCTGATCCCGTTTACATGCAATACGTCCTTGACCAGGCTCGTAATGCGGGCATCGTGGTGCCTTTCATCAGCAACGATGCCTCTGCCAGTGGGCACAATGCCCCGGGAACCGGCGAGGGCTCGGTGAATATCTATGGTCATGACAGCTACCCGTAAGTCAAGGCCCTCTTCTGTGCTAAGCTATTACTAACTTGCTTAGGCTTGGGTTTGATTGTGTATGTACTTGCGCTACGGTGTTTAATTCTATGCTAATATCGCTTAGGCAAACCCTTCCACTTGGCCTGCTGGCAACTTGCCTACCAACTTCCGCACCCTTCATCTCGAACAGAGTCCTACCACTCCGTACTCGATTGTTGAGGTATGTTGTGTACTGCCATGTTGTGTTCTAGATCTAACCAGTAGTAGTTCCAAGCTGGCGCGTTTGACCCATGGGGCGGTCCTGGATTTGCCAAATGTGCTGCTCTAGTCAATCACGAGTTCGAACGAGTTTTCTACAAGAACGACTTTAGCTTCGGCGTTGCTATCCTCAACCTGTACATGGTGAGCTTTCTACACACTTCTCTCGGGTTCGCATGCCAACTAATGATCAAAGACTTTTGGAGGAACCAACTGGGGCAACCTGGGTTATGCAAATGGCTACACTTCCTACGACTATGGCTCGCCGTTGACCGAATCTCGCAATCTGACCAGGGAGAAGTACAGTGAGCTGAAGCTCCTTGGTAACTTTGCCAAGGCCTCGCCAGGTTACCTCCTTGCCACTCCAGGAAACTTGACCACTTCGGGCTATGCCGATACTTCCGACATTACCGTCACTCCTTTGCTCGGTAGCAACAACACTGGCTCTTTCTTTGTTGTCAGACACTCGGACTACACCAGCCAGGCCTCCACCTCATACAAGCTGAAGGTTCCAACCAGTGCTGGTAGTCTGACAATCCCTCAGCTGGGAGGCAGCCTGAGCCTCAACGGGCGCGATTCTAAGATCCACGTTGTCGACTACGATGTCTCTGGAACAAACATCTTGTACTCAACTGCTGAGGTTTTCACCTGGAAGAAGTTCTCTGACGGAAAGGTCCTCGTTCTGTACGGAGGAGCTGATGAGCACCATGAGCTCGCGATCACTACCAAGTCGAACGTGACTATTGTCGAAGGCAAGGCATCTTCCATCTCATCCAAGCAGACTGGAAAGTCTCTTGTGATTGGCTGGGATGTCTCGTCTACTCGTCAGATCATCAAGGTTGGAGACTTGCAGATCCATCTCCTAGGTAAGACTTTATATCTCATGATTAGGTCAATAGATCTGACTAGGAATAGATCGGAACTCTGCGTACAACTACTGGGTACCGCAAGTCGGTAAAGATAGTACATCAACGGAGTTCAGCACCCAGGCTGCAGTTGCATCATCCATTATTGTCAAGGCAGGCTACCTCGTGCGGACTGCCTATGTCAAAGGCAACGGCCTTTACCTCACTGCCGATTTCAACGCCACCACCCCCATTGAAGTCTTTGGTGCTCCGGCCACCACTCGCAACCTCTATATCAATGGAGAGAAGACCAGTCACACAGTCGCAAAGAACGGTGCTTGGACGACGGAAGTCAAATACAGCGCCCCCAAGATCTCGCTTCCGAGCTTGAAGGGCCTGAGCTGGAAGTACCTGGACACGCTTCCTGAGATCCAATCCTCGTACGACGACTCTCTCTGGACAGCCGCCGATCTTGCTGAGACCAAGAACACGTTCCGCCCCTTGACCACTCCGACTTCGCTATACTCGTCCGACTATGGCTTCCACACTGGCTACTTGATCTACCGTGGTCGTTTCGTCGCTACCGGAGATGAGACCACCTTTACTGTCGATACTCAGGGTGGCACTGCATTTGGAAGCTCCATCTGGCTCAACGATACCTTCCTTGGCTCTTTCACCGGTCTCTTTATCTACGCTGACTACAATCAAACCGTCACTCTTCCGAAGTTGAAGTCCGGCAAGGAATACGTCTTCACGGTGGTCGTCGATAACCTTGGTCTGGACGAGGACTGGACCGTCGGTGCAGAACTCATGAAGGCGCCCCGTGGTATCCTCAACTATGACCTTGCCGGCCACGACGCCAGCGACATCTCCTGGAAGTTGACGGGCAACCTCGGCGGCGAAGACTACCAGGATAAGACTCGCGGTCCTCTCAACGAGGGTGGTCTCTACGCCGAACGCCAGGGATACCACCAGCCTCAACCTCCCAGCCAGAAATGGAAGTCCGCCAGTCCTCTCGACGGTCTTTCCAAGCCCGGTATCGGATTCTATAGTGCTGAGTTCGAGCTCGACCTGCCGACTGGATGGGACGTGCCGCTGTTCTTCAACTTCGCCAACAGCACTACTCCCGACGCGTATCGTGCGCAGCTGTATGTGAACGGATACCAGTACGGTAAGTATGTGAGCAACATCGGACCCCAGACAAGCTTCCCGGTTCCCCAGGGTATTTTGAACTACCAAGGAACGAACTGGATCGCACTGAGTGTGTGGGCCCAGAATGAGGGTGGTGCCAAGGTGGAGGGCCTGGAGTTGAGCTACGAGACTCCGGTCCTGACGGCGCTGAAGGGAGTCAAGTCGGTGGATCAGCCCAAGTACAAGGCTCGGAAGGGAGCGTACTAGTTGGAGGTGAGGGAATTTAGGATTTATTTACTCACGTATATAGTTGAATTGAGATGACAAATGCGCTTGACTGGCAGTGACGCGATTTGCCAGTGATTTGTGATGTTAGAAAATAACCAAATCCCTTCAAATGAGATCATGAGATCAAGTTGAGGTCCATGACCAAATCGTGATCTCGAGAAACGGATGCTAAAAATGGTGGGTTTCCCAAAAAAAGGGAACAGTGTTGCATCATCCGTGAATCGAACACGGGCCTCATCGATGGCAACGATGAATTCTACCACTAGACCAATGATGCTACTTGATGAAATTAATCCATGCTTTTTACCTTATGAATCAATTTCTTATCTTGGCCAACATCTGCCACCACCTCTACTTCTCTAGAGATTCCGCAATAACTATTCGACCCATTGCTGAGCAAAACATCAGCTAGTATAGTCCTACTAGCTAGCTTGAACTTTGCTGAGAATGGCTGGCAGTTTATGTGAATTGCCGAGGCCTTGAACTAACAGTGTTGAGCTTTCAATCCATTCGATGCTATATATTCCTTCAGCTACCAGCAGATGCTCACCCACTCAACAGCCGGAGCACAACCTGGCAAGGACCAGAGGGGGACATACCCCAGCAAAGATCAGGCTCATATGCGCATTTCCGTACCGAAACAGAACTACACAGACCATCAAGACCCGAGATCGATGAATATGATACCTGCAAAAGCCCTATCGAATTTCAGAATCGTAAAGTACGCAAAAGTCAACGTGAGACGGTCAACACAGAGAAATAACATCGAGCTCCAGCCTCAAGTTCGACTCCGTTCCAAAGAAGGATACAGCAACTACCCAGACAACGAAATCCTGTTTCGCCGGTAAGTGGTGAAATCTCCAAAGTATGCAAATCCACGGCACTCCCCAAATACACGGGTACAATAGATTCAGAGATATGGCGCATCCTCCACGGTCTCCTTCCTTCACCGCACGATTCACCAGAAAACTGGATCTCTCCTGCAGTGCAGGAAGGAGAAGCTAGCCGCATCAAATTGCATCGTTGAACTTCCAGTCATTCTCATGTTGGCGCCGGAATTCGAGGACTTCCTGTCTGATCCGCTCCATATGGTACGCCTCGGGCTGGTAACTCCCACCGCGCCGAAGCTCTTGCTGGCGAAGGTGGCTGCTCACCATACTACCCACGGCGAGGTAACTCCGAAAAGGTTGGCCCCAGAGGTGGGAAGACGGATGGGCTTGGGAAGCCGGTCGAGGTCGCTGTTCTACTACAAGAGGGCTGATTAGTGGAAATCTACCCAACCGGGGTAAGGCCCAGAGGGACGGACGGGGAGGAGTGGAAGCCATCACCTGTAGGGGCGGGACTCTGGGGCGGGCCGCTCATGAACGGACCACCCCGCGGAGTGGCCGCGGGCGACCCGGGAGATTCTGGAGGATCCCGGGCACGGGCATGGCGACGGCCTGTGAATATTCCAAAAAGCCCACCACCCCGAGAGCGACGGGGGCTCTGGGGAGCCTCAGGGAAGCTCGCAGGAGGGGGAACATGACCACGATCCGGAAAGGCGGGGCCGATGTATTCGACGCTTCCAGAAGGGAGGTTTTCCGAGCGCTCCATGATCCGCGCGAACTCGTCAGCCCTGGGATCAGCAGCCGGACCCTTACACCCGCAGGTCCTCCAAACCCTACCACAGAAGTAGCAGAAGTCGACGCCACAAAGGCACCTAAAGGGGGGCACGTTCTGATTCAGTATCGGAGCCGCGGGAAAAACGAGGGGGAGCTTAGAGAGGTTCTGACTAACGCCACATGTTGGCATCCGGAATGACGCTCCACGAGTCGCCTACAGTGAGGACATGTTTGCCATCCGTATTTCCTCGCGGCGCTCATCTGTCGGTTGTAGTCGGTGTTTTGTGAGCAAAATCCCGTGTGAAACGGTTCCTTGCAGACAGCACACGTCTGGTGGCCACAGTTGGGACAATTTGCCGTGTTGTTGGCGATCCATGTTGAGGGGATGAAGGCAGAACACCGTCCACGCGAGCAGTATACTTTGTTCGGAGTCTCGAACTCAACCTTTTTCTTCTCGTACTGCCGGAGGGTCTCAGGTGTGAGGTGCTTGCCCACAGCGGCTATGTCATAGGGCCGTCCGCAGCATCTTGGAGGAAACCGGCCCCCTTCTGTTAGTGAGGACTTGAAGTAGCGTTCTAGGCAAGATGAGCAGTATTTATGCGAACAGTGCGAGCGTGCCACTTTGGCCCGGCTTATGTCTTCCGTGCAGCCAGTACATCGACGAGCTGGTGTCATTGGATATCTTTTCAGTCTCTGGCGGACTGAGTTGGCATGTGTTGGGGCTTGGAACTGGAAGTCAGCTTGTCTGCTGCTGATGGCTGTGTTGTTTTCGATGTCGTTATGGACGAGTAGGATGAGAAGGAGAAAAAGAAAGGAAAAGAGAGAGCGGAAGAAGAAGAAGAAGACCAGGAGGAGGACGACGAGGAGGAGGAGGAAGAAGAAGGAGAAGAAGAAGAGCAAGAAGGAAAAGGAGGATCTGCAAGTGGGGGTTGGGGTAAGGCGATTCATTCACAGTTCTTGATAGATCTCTTTCTTCGCATATTGCATTTGGATTCTTTGTCGATGTGAGACTGTGTCAGCAATGTGGGTGGGGGATGAACACTGAACACTGCATGACGGGGCCTGTTTGCACCGATCCTGAGACGGCAGTCATGATGAACACATCCGCGCAGGCATTCACTTCCCACACATCACTACACCGGAACTTCACTTCCTCCTATCCCACTCAGTCACCTGTTCGCTCTCGGGTTTAAAGTTTTGTGTTCTATCGAACTCCCCGCAAAGCTCAGTTTTACGGAGAAACATTCCGGTTTCAATCTTCCTAAACATCGTTCTGCCCGGCCACGGATGTGAAGCTGAGCATTTTCGTTCAGAGAAGACCATCGATTCCATCTACAGAGTCAGCTTCCTCTTGGTTCTCTCTTGCTTCTACAGACCCTCCTAGTGATGTCGTCCCAGCCCATGGAGAAGTCCTCGTCATCTGACGGGACCGGCGTCTTTACTCCGGCATCCTCTACAGCGGCTACTATTCCGACGGATCTGAAGAAGGCGAAGACACTATTTGGGAAATGCACTGTCCAGGGCTTAAACAAAGGCTACGTGTGTACCTGTAAGATGGGCACCGCCGAGTCCTTTGTATCTGCTATCGATCCAGACGCCTCGTGCACTGAATGCCATCACTCACTCAGCATGCACCTGGAATACACTGAAAGTAAGTTACTCAGAAAACCGTCCACAGATTTGTCTGTTAAGTGTCTTCCATAGATCCAGCCAAGGAACAAGCCGCCATGCTTGCACTATCACCACAGCCGGACATACACAAAGGACCTGAGATCTGTCCACGGATTGACACGTTGCTTGGGATAGCACAAGAGCTCGACACAAAACATGTCGTCTATGTACAAGGCTCCCCTGTGTCAGGCAAGACAACCCTTGCTCTTTTGCTGAGGGACTTCCTTCGCCAGACACGCAAGGTCATCTTCGTGAAAGGTTGGAAAAGGAATTGTAGCTCATTGAATTACCTGATCCAGGCAGCCTATGCGCAGGGCCTGAGTCAGGACGAGGTGCACGGCGATCTTCAGAGTGATCACAACAGCGGACTGGTGTTCATCTTGGATGACGCACACGAGACCTGCGGTGATTTCGACTTCTGGGCCGAGATTGTCGATGCCCGATTCGGCAAGCAGCATGGCCCTCGTTTCTGTTTGTTCTTTGCGCACGAGTCTTTGAGGACTGGATCCCTCGAGGCGCGCTTCAGCAGACCTCAACCTGTCTTCAAACCATCGCGCACAGTCACCCTCCTGCCCTACTGGCCGAGCTCCATGTATTCCGTCTTCTACACCCAATCCGAGCTACAGGATGTGGTCAAGAAGTACAGTGCTACGACCGGCTGCCCTGACCTGTCCCAGAAAGGTCGGGAGTGTTTGATGGCACTGACAGACGGCCACCCTGGAATGGTCGATGCCCTGCTGGCATATATACGCCAGGTGAGTCAAAGCCCCAGTTGAACCTGCCGTTAGTTCTCGCCGCTTTCTAGCTTAACCCTCAACAGTACGCAGGAAGAGACTTCCAACAATACATCAACAATGATATGTTGTCGCCCCCAACCGATGAATTCCGGGAGTTCCTGAGCAGCAACGACGCCCTCGAATTTATCCGATACCAGCCCGCCGGGAAGAGTCTGCCATCGAAGTACATGACCAACGGGATCCTAACCCAACCCATGATCGACATCCTGCTCCGGGTCCTCCGCCAGGGCAACATCCGCTTCAACCACAAGGACCCGGACTTGAAGCTCTGCGTCAAATACGGCTTCCTGTACACCTTCCTCGACTTCGCCAACAAGGTCTTCTGCGTCCTCCCCTCCAACCTCCATGCCCGGTGAGCCCAGCCATCCCCTCCCTACTCCCCACAACCCACCACTACTAACCCCAACCTAAACAGCTTCCTCGAATACGAACACAGCGGCATCTCCGAGCCCAGCTTCCAAGGCGTGGGTGGCGGCCCGGAGATCCGGGAATTTTGCATCCGCGTCCTGCAGTCCCTGCCCCCAGAGTCCCTGCAGAATACCTTCGCCAGCCGGCGGGGTCCTGCGGGTCGCGTCCGGGCCCGGGCCGATCTCTTCCAGGACGAGTTCTACCAAAGCTGCTGGAGCCACAACATCTTCGGCGGGGCGGTCACGCGCGACTGGACGCGCACGGCGAGCCCGCGCACGGCGGTCGAGGTGCCCGCGGTGGGCTGGCGCATCGAGCTGCTGCATGGGTACGGGGCGAGCTTCGATCTGCGCGCAATCGCCCGCGAGTGTGCGGATCTGGTGGCGCGGGGTAAGGTGCGATATTGGGTGGTGCTGCTTTGTGCGGGGGAGGAGGCGAGATTGCAAGGTATGTGCATTCCTACGGGAGCTTAGTGGTTGTGGGGAAGGGGAAGTGGGCTAATCTTTTGAGCAGGGAGCTGTGAGAATCTGCTGCATGTTGTGTTCAAGGATGATTTCGCCAAGTTCACGGTCAAGGCGTCGGGGGCTCGGTTGGAGTTTAATCTGGGGCAGCTTTGATGGGGTCGAGGATTACTTGGATCTTGCTGCTTCTGCTTGAAGGTCGCCGGGGCTAGTATGCGATGACAAGGTCACTGCAGGTTCTACAGGTTTCGTGGGTGCAGTTGGAATGGCTGACAGGGGGAAGTGTAAGAATAGAGTGAAGAAAATCTAAAGCATAATTGATCTTCAGTAATCTGAATTGATGACTACTTCTACGTCCAAGACAAATCGCAGTAGAGTTAAATGTAGCCTAAAGCTACTCGAAAATTAGATCATATTATCCTGTCAACTACGGAGTTGACCAGGTCGGGCATCTCGATCAGCGAATAAAATGAGAAAGAGCATAACTACGTGCAATCTACGCGAAACCATCATGTCTCTGGTTTCAGCTCCAGTCCCGGGGGACTGTCTCTTACTTCCTTCGCTTAGGTGCTATCCTACGCAGAGGAGCCGTGCCACGAGGAGCCGCCACATGCACAGGAGTCTCCCCCGGTACAGGAGTCGCCCCAGGTACAGGAGCCCTCGCAGTCACCCCATGCACTGCCGCAAGATGTCTAGATAGGCTTTCGTCTGTGGAGCACACATCGGGGCAGTAAGGGCACGTAAAATCATTATCGTGCTTCGTGCGGTGATGATACCACAAATCATGATCGGCCCCGTAATGCCGGCGACAAAGCACCCCGTCTACGATAAGGGTGCAATGAAAGCGGCCTCCCCTCAGAGCAAAGCTCACTGGGATCTTTGTAGGAGCACGCCCACGATAACGCCTGTTCTTACGGGGCTTCTGCGGCAATGATTGCGCCGTTGTCGGTGCACTGCGGTGGGGCTCGAGCTCGCGAGGGAGTTGGTGTGGATGCGGCGGGTGCAGCTGAGGATGATGTTGTATCTGCTGCTGCTGCTGCTGCTGCTGCTGCTGCTCTATTTGTGGATGATGATGTATTTGAGCCTGCTGTTGCATCCGAACTGGATGTTGCGCCGGCTGCTGATGTTGTGGCGGCATCAGAGAATGATGTTGCATCTGCAGCTGCTGGTACTGAGCTTGATGTAGCTGACGCTGGGTCCGTGACTGATGCTGAGGTTGCATCTGCTGCAGGTTCTGGTACTGGCGTAGGTGCTGAGGTTGCTGCTGGTGATTCTGTTGTGCCTGAGAATACCGCTGATAATGTAGCTGTTTTTGCTGCTGGAGTTGCGCTTGATACAGCTGACGCTGTGTCTGTAGCTGATTACGAGATTGCATCTGCTGCTGGTAACACTGCTGATGAGTCTGCTGTGCCTGAGAGTACTGCTGAAGATGCATCTGTACCTGCTGCTGCTGGTTTTGAGGTTGCATCCGCCGCTGGTGCAGGTGTAGGCGCTGAGGTTGCTGCTGGTGCTGAGAAGGCTGACACCGCAGAGGATATACCTGTTGTTGCTGCTGGTTCTGCCCCTGGTGCTGAGGAGTCCGAAGCTGCTGAGAATGCACCTGTACCTGCTGCTGGCTCTGATTCTGGCGCTGAGAAGGCCGACCCTGCAGAGGATGTATCTGTATCTTCTGCTGCTGCGGAGGCTGAAGCTGCTGAGGAGACACCTGCATCTGCTGCTGGGGCGGAGGCTGACAGTGCTGCTCCTCCTGCCCTGATCGAGGAGTCCGACACTGCAGAGGATGCACCTGTAGCTGCTCTGTGTGCTTCTTTTGCTGATGATTCTCTTCCGAGTGTTGGAAAGGCCGACACTGCTGAGGAAGCACCCGTATCTGCTGCTCGGGCTGCTGCTCTTGAGGAGGCTGAGGTTGCAGAGAGTGCACCGTCGCCTGTAGCTGCTGTTGCTGCTGCTGGGGCTGGGGCGTAAAGTGCCGCTGCAGTGCCTGCTGCTGCACCTGAGGATGATTCCGCGCCGCCTGCTGCTCCAGCTGCTCCCGACGAAGCCGCTGTGCCATTCTTCGCTGCGGACATTTTAACGACGATCTCCTGGATTGGGATGAATCATCCTCTTTCCAGACCCATTGTCTTCTCAAGTCCCAGGTTCCACCTCCGCCTGCTTGCGTCCTGTCTGCTGACTGGCTGAGCGGTATCAGGAGCAGTTGAGGTTGACGCCGTGTGAGCTAATGGCTATCTGTCGGTTGCGCATCGGATATCATTTCGGAGACTACTTTCCAATGGCAATCCACGCGTTGATGAATCGACCGAGGCGACCTCGTTCTGTTTGCGACACCCTACTATGAGCTGTATAAGCTATACTCGAGGTCTGTCCTAAGGGGCAGGGTGGCATGGGCTCCAGCATAGGCTGGAGCATAGGTCGTTGCGTCATTGGCGTTGCGCCGGTAGCAAACGCAGCTGGGTTGGACCCAGTGAAGTGCGGGCTGCTGTTCATCCTATGCGCGTGCTCTCCAGCCCAGTGCTAAGAGTCACTGGAAGCTTGTGCTATTTTTGTTGATAGCAGAGAAGCTTTCTAGAAAGTGTTCATGGCAAAACTGCAGATTGGCAGTGGTTGCCCGTCGTATGAACAAGCTCAGCAGGATTCACAATTGGACGGGCGTGGCAATGGATGAATGAGAACAGTGTGGTGATAGAGTCTTTCATTCCATCAGGCCATGATCACAGCTGGAACAGATATAACACTATGGACAGTGAGCAATACTTCATACCAAGGGTGTAAGAGAACCAATTACCTAGCTGGGTAATGAGCTACTGGTCGGGGGGTATAGTACTGATCGTACTGTACATCACGTTACGGTATCGGAGATATACTCAAACCCTGCTGTAGAATAAACTAGACAAGATCCTAGTGTGCTGTGAGTTTTACCTCGATAGCTGGAGCTGATTGACATGACTGAAGTACTGAAGTAGTTCTTTAGTATAGTTACACTATAGTTACACTATAGTTACACTATAGTTACACTATAGTTACACTACGTAGTTATGGGTAAGCGAGACTGACTCCACCCAGCGGGGAAGACCCGGCGGGTCGTCAGCTTTAGCTCCACTCCATTGATTGATCCATCGCATCTTCATCCATCCCAGCCACCCATTTATTGACTCGTACCTAGTTACTGCCTGACTGACCTTCGTCATCTCCGCTTCTACTTTTCCTCTTCTTCCTTCGTATCTCAGATTCAGATCTCAACCCAGGCATTCACTTCTCCCTTTGTTGCACAGTCGAACCCACAAGACTATGACCTCTCCACGTCTATAATCACGACTATCGCATACTCACTCACTCCACTATTTACTCCGTCCGCACTGCCAACCACCACCACCACCACCACCACCACCACCACCGTCTAAACAACAACAACAACCACCACCCCCAAAAATGCCACCCACCCATCTCTCCCCCCGAATACCCCCCCAAACCATCCAACAAAACCACGCGCGCAACGCCCGCGAATTCACCACCCTCCCCTCGACCTACAGCTACACCCCCAACCTACCGGCCGGCACAATCGTGGGCATCGTCCTAGGCAGCGTCCTCGGCTTCCTCCTCCTCCTGTACCTGATCTATCTGGCCCTGACCTCCGGCCGCAAATTCTCCCCGGCCACCACCAACGGAGATGGGACGACCCTCTCCGGCAGCACGACGTCCTCGCCCTCGTCGCACTCCGAGATCATCGTGGAAGAGAACCTCAGCTCGACGCGGTCGCCGCGCTCGCATCGGTCGCGACGGAGCCGACGGCCCGGGGGCGGGGGTCGTACTCGACGAAGGGAAGAAATCGTCGAGGAAGGGTACCTGCCCCCGCACGGACGGCTCCACCCGCCGCATTCCAAACATCATCAGCGGAATCGCCAGCACCCGCCGGAGATGGTGGAGGCGAGTGTGGTGTCCAGTGAGCGGTCGGATGTGGTGACGGTGATGGAGGAGCATTCGAGTGTGGAGGGCCCGAGGAAGCCGCGGAGGCCCGGGAAGGGGGGGTATCGGGCGGTGGATCTGGATGCGGTGGAGGGGTTGTCGGTTGATGGGAGTTTGAGGTCGTAGGATTTTGGGGAAATGAAGGATAGGATGGGATGGGACGGTGTTTTTTCTTTTGATACCCTTTAGTTTTTTTTTCTTGTGTTTTTACTGTGATTTGTGAGTTGTGCTTGGGTCCGCTGCAATGGATGGAAAGCATGAGTTATGAGATACAATGCTGCATTTGCATGGAGAGTTTGACTGAGATTAGGTCTAATGATAATGATGACGGCTGATGATGCCCGGTGTGTTTGTTTGAATATCAAATATCAATAAGGCGCATATCAATAGAGTATAGTATGGTATAGCATTCCCATCTCAGCCCTGAGCATAGACGACAACAACAACAAACAAAGCGAAACACAACACCAATAGCCTAGAAACCCAAGAAGCAACCCAATACTCAAAACCAGTCATTCACGCAGAAACGCAACGCCCAACACCCCCACCCTATATCACCGAAGTTGGTATAAAGGCATCCATCCTTCATCCACCCATCAATCAATCAATCAATCAATCAACCCACCCACCCACCCATCCCCACATAACCCGAACACAGTATAAAAGCATCCATCATCACCCACAACTTCCTCCACCTAGAACAAAATATCCAAACAACAACAACAAGCCAACGCCGCCATAATGCCCGCACACATGCCCCCACCCGACGAGCCCCCGCCCCGATCCCCTCCAGCATAGTACCCCTGCTGCGGCGGCGGTTGCTGTTGCGGATAGTACATCGGCTGCTGCTGCGGGGGCGGCGAGCCCGGATAGCCCTGGGGAGGGGGGTAGTAGCCACCAGCGCCGCCTTGCGGGGGGCCGTAGCCTTGCTGCGGGGGGTAGCCGCCGCCGCCTTGATTATAATAGTCCTGGGAGGCGCCGCCTTGGGGTGGGTAGCCTTGTTGCTGCTGTTGGTAGTGGTAGGGTCCTGCGTCGTGGACGGGGGAGGGGTAGGAGGGGGGTGGGTTGTCCTTTTTTTCTGGGGGTTAGTGGATGGGGTTTAGGATAAGGATGGGGGCCTGGGGAACGTACCGGTTTGTTGTAGGACATCTTTGTGATTTCTTCAGAGACGAAGACAAAGAAAGGGTGTGGTTTTTATCGGATAGAAGAGTAGGTGGTAGCAGTCCACAGGACAAGAAATGCGAAGAGCAAGGCTGTGGATTGTGGATTGTGAAGGAGAGAGTGCGAGAGCGAGAGCGAGAAAGGAAGAGGAGAAGTCGAAAATCCCATGGGCACTCACTCACTCACTCCCTTGGCGGGAGCCCGGATTAGGCAACCGATTTGGCGGATCTCCACGTAATTTCTCGGCGTGCTTTCTTGGGTCTTGGGAAGGATAGCGATGGCGCAGCAGTAGTCGTGGAGAATTGTGGCGGTGTTATTTATAGTTAGTTTAGAGGGGGAATCCATTGACAGCTCATTCTATTGTGGTTGTGGTTCCCTACGTCGCATCTTCAGCTGTTTCTGTCGGAACATCCATGCATTATTACTGGCATACTGCTGATCTTGACGGGTCTGCAGGTCTCCCGAGAGTGACGCGGCGGATGGGTTCATGACACCCGGACATCCCTTCTTATCTTATCGCAAATCTGGGGCATGCCATCCACTAAAACATCCCTAACCTCTTGAGACAAACCCGTCTGACTTCACACTTACGCAGGAGCATACGAACGTTGGGCACTCCCAGTCACCATCTCTTCCCTACAGCATCCATTCACCAAAACCACTTCACGCTGCAATTAGATTCGCTAAACGCTATCGTTTTCGCCAGGTTCGTCCACGGATTCAGCAGAAAAAAAGGTATGACAAGAAAAAAGGAAATAGATGAAATTGATTACAGAAGAAGGAAATGGACCAGCCCCAAAGCCGGCCCCAACGTACAAACGCACGGTTTTCAAAGGGGGTCACCAATACCCGTGTATGTTGGCTTCTTCTCATCAGAGGAGCAGGTCGAAGTGGAGGGGAGGATAATAGGAGGATTTTAGGAGGCAACAAAGAGATAACAGGAAAGTTATAAGGGTAGATGCAAAGAAAAGAACCAAAGTCACACGAATATATAGTCAGCTTTTGGGTTCTAACCATGCGCAGTCGCTGGTGCGGTCAAAATGCAAGTGCAAGTGCATGCAATGCAATGGTCTATGCGTCGGAGCGGCCCATTTAGGCCTGGTCCTCGACGGTGGCCTTCTCGAGCTCTTCCGTCACGTCGGCGACAGCGTCCTTCTCCTGCTTGAGCTCAGCATCCGCAGAGACCTTGCCGTTGACACCGCTGTTCTTGATGGCCACCTTCTTGGCGCCGTCGGTCGCCCGGTCGTCATTGGCAGCGGCGGTCTCCTCGGCCTCCAGGCGGGCAATCTCCTCCTGGGCCTTCTTGATGTTCTACGCATACAGTTAGTGGTGACCACGGCAAGCAAACGCAGAAAAAACTCACCTCCTCGGTCTTCGAGGCCTGGTTCTTCTTCCACTCGGTGATCTTGGCCGCGAGCTTCTCAATCACGGCAGGAACATCCGCCTGGTTCATGGGAGGGTCGATCTTGACCTTGGCGAAGTCCTCAATGACACCAACGTTCAGGTTGAACTTGGTCTCGGCCGGGGCAGCGGCGGCGGGGCTACCGTTGGCGCCCTTCTTGCCCTTCTTACCCTTCTTGCCACCGGTGCCGACGAAGTAGTCCTCGCCGTCATCCTTCTTCAGGACCTTCATGCCCTTCAGGCCGGAGTCATCGACCGTGCGGCCGATCTCCGCGCGGAAGTTAGAGCCCTCGTCCTTCTTGTCGTCCAGACCCAGCGCGGCGAAGTCGTAGGCGGGGTTGAAGTGGCGGATCAGACCCTGGCCGATCAGGATCTCATCGGTGTAGGCGGGGCGGGAGGCCTCCTCCAGCTTCTTGTCGGCGACCTTCTTGCGCTTCTCGCGCTCGAAGGCCTCGCGCTGGGCCTTCTGCTTCTCGCGGCGGACGCGCCAGGCCTCATCCTCGTACTCCTTGTAGGCCTTACGGGCCTTGTAGTAGTTGTCCTTGATCTCGCGGATGGCGGTCCACTTCTTCTGCTGCTCGGCGTGTAGCTTGGTGCGCTCGTCGCGCAGGGCGTTCAGGTTCTTGAAGGCGCTGTCCTGCTCGGCCTTGATGGCGTCGAGCTCCTTCTGGATCTCGTTGTACTTGTCGCTGAGGGCCTTGGCCTCGGGGTTGTCGAGGCTCTTCTTCAGGGCGGCGATCTGGTTCTTCAGGTCGGTGATGGCCTTCTGGGCCTCCTCGAGGCCGGCGAAGTTCTTGCGCTGCTTGCGCAGGTTGGAGACGTCGGAGAGAATCTTGCGCTCGTCGACCAGGCGCAGCGTGCCGGAGTCGACCTGCTTCTCGAGGCGGGCGATTTCCTTGTCCAGCTCCTCGACGTTCTTGAACGACATGCGACCGCGCGAGTTGTTCTGTTCCGAGATGCGGGCCTTGAGCGTGGCGTCCAGGGCGTTGATCTTCTCCTGGGTGCTGGAGCGGCCGGCCTTGAAGCCCGACTGCTTCTGGCGGATCGAGGACAGCTCGGCGCGGAGTTCCTGCTGTCTCTTCGCGGTGGGCGAGTCCTGGTTGTTGGGCTTGGCGGTCTCGATCTTGGCCTTGATTTCATTCTTGAGTGGGTGGTTAGCTCAATTGCCAGCAGGTCATGACCGGGGCCATGCAATTGGGTGTATAGCGGTCAAGTAAGAACCGTAGTACAGGAAGAAGGCGATAGAACCCGGAGGAAGGGAAAAGAGGCCACGGTGCGGAAACGCAGAATCCCGGTAAACAAAACAATGCGAGAGAGGCATGGTGAACGCCAATTCAAGTCATAGACAAGGGGAAAACATACCAGCTTCTCCTGAACAGCGGCGTGCTCCTTCTCGGCCTGGGCCAAATCGGCCTTGAAAGTCTCCTCATTGGGCTTGGTGGGCTTCACCTTCTGCTCCGTGGCAGGAGCGGACTTGGCGTCGACGGACATGATTGAGATGAGGTGAGGGAGAAGAGCAATTGACAGGCAAGAATTGATTTAGAATAAAATCAATCAGTCAATTGGGAGAAATCAACCCAAAGGAGAGGAGAAGTGGGGGTTGAGAGAGAAGGAGAGGGAAGGGGGGGGGGAGGAAGAAAGAGAGAAAGGGAAAGGAAAGGGAGTCAGTCAGTAGTTAGTGTCAGTACGGCAGTTAGTTCCAGTCAGTCAATCAGTCAACAACTGGAACTTCGTGCTCTTTTTCTCGGCCTGGCCCTCTTTCTTTTGGCCGGTGACTTTTGTCTTGTCTGGGCGGGCGACGGGCGGCGCTTAAGTTCCCCCCGTTTGGCGCCTTTAGCGCTGGGCCGCCGATTTTTCGAGAAACCGGCCTTCATTTTACTCTCTCGCATCCGCCTTTGACCTGCCACTTTTTTGCCCGCCAGCGTTCTTTCACCTCCACCTTTACTTGCATATCGCCGTTGCGGTGTCTATTTAATCTCTCTCTCTCTCTGACCTCAATTACCCTGCAACCTACACGCGCGACGTGTTTCCCCAACCCTTCAACATGGATGAGGACTACTCGACCGGGTCCGTGGACGCCGACCGCGAGATGACCAGACTCTGGCGCACATGGCGAACAGTCTTTGAGATGCTTTTGGATCGGGTACGCAGCTCTGCACCCTGGAGCTCTGGAGATCTCCCGCAACCTCTCATACTAATATGCATCTTGGGGGAAACAGGGCTACGAAGTCACCGAAGAAGAAGTGCAAATCCCGCTCGCAGACTTCAAACGAAAATATTCCGACCCTCTAGGCTATCCCGAGTACGCCAGCCTCCCTCCCTTCAACCCCCTCCCTGCCAAAAACTAACCCAATCCCCCAAATCACCAGCCGCAACAAAATGAAAATCAGCGCCCGCCCCACGGAAGCCATGCAAACCAAATACACGCCGCTGCCCAGCAAATCCAACCCGACCCCGCAACCCGACTGCGGCACGATCTACGTGGAATTCTGCCCGGACTCGACGGGAGTGGGCACGAAGCAGGTCCGCGCCTTCAACCACTTCGTGGACGAGAACAACTTCCACACCGGGGTGTTCATCACGCAGACGCCCATCTCCCCCTCGGCCGTGCGCCTGCTGAGCGGCGTCCCCGGCCGCATCTGCGAGCACTTCCAGGAGCAGGATCTGCTGGTCAACATCACCCGGCACGAGCTGGTGCCCAAGCATGTGCTGCTCAGCCCGGACGAAAAGGCCCGGCTGCTGGAGCGGTACCGCCTCAAGGAGTCCCAGCTGCCCCGCATGCAGCATTCCGATCCCGTCGCGCGGTACCTGGGTCTGCGGAAGGGGCAGGTCGTCAAGATTATCCGGAAGAGTGAGACGGCCGGCCGCTATGCGAGTTATCGGTGGGTACTCTAGTGCGGTATCTTTTTTTTTCTGTATAAGATGGGAGCGGAGGGGAGATGGGGTGGTGGGATTATCAACGGAGATATCCCGGCCAGTTATCATGATGCATCATGGTACTGGGTCCAAGGGCAGAGCGGGAGGCAAAGAAAACAAGAAAAATATTGTCTAATTACAGGCATCGGGCAGCATGGCGTAAGGGCGAAAAAGTTATTCTCTAACCAAACTCAATGTGTTTTCTTACTCATGGCTCTATGATTTGGTGATTATGTTCTGGCTGATGGGTGGCTTCACCTGAATACTACTCTACATATTGATTTCATCACCTTTGCACTACCCTACATATTGATTCAGAAGCTTTGCACACACGCAAGAAATAAGACTTCAAGTGAGTTTTGCAATGAATGCATTGAATGCTAACCAAAATTACTATACTATATGGTATATCTCATAAAATCATACCGAACTCCATAGCCCAACCAAAACCCGCCAATCCCAGTCCAGTTCCAGTGAAACACGCTAAGCTCAAATCAAAGACACGAAACGAATAATGATACAGGCACATTACGCTGATCATCGATCATACCGCCGCGACAGCAATCTTCCCACATCCTGGAGCTCGACATCATCGCCCTCGGGGATCGGGGTCGAGACTTCGGGCTGGGAGCGATAGGACGGCACGGGCGACTCCGGCGAATCGCTGAAGTGAACGCTCGATCCCCTGCGACGGTTCGACGCAAGAGAGCTACGGCGAAGGCCGCCAGGGCGGGAAGCAGAATTCGGGGCTACGGGAGATGATGGGAGTGCGTGGTGATGGTAGGTCGCATTAGGATCTGGGTTCAAGTCCGGCGAGCCGGAGGGAGAGACGGTAGCTCCGAAGTCGTAAATAGCGGATTTGCTACTGCCACTGGAATGGCGCGGTTGATGATCGGGGTAGTGGGACGGATGCGCGGTTGTGGGAGTAGGCGCGTTGAGCAGGCCGCCTACATCGAAGATAGAGAGTTGGGTGGGGGATGAAACCTCTCGGGGCATCCTGTGTGGAGGAGAGATGTTGGTCTCTACATATTCGTGGGGGCTGACTTTGATGTCGAGACTGCCTGTAGTAGACGTGTGGTCATCGTCCATGCCCCCCGGTCGCTGAGGGAAAGACCAGCTCGGGTTCAATAGGCCGGCGGGACGGCCTGTGAGGCTGTGATAAGGGGCAGCGACCGGCGCAGGACGAGGCAAATCCCTGTCTGAAGAGCATAGTTCCGGCTTCAGACGGATTCCCAGGCCTGCAGCCAGGTCTGAATCGCTGCCCCATTGATGGTGGGTGATGGTTTGGCGGCGAAAGGAGCTATAGTCCATATTCTCATTGACCGAAGCGGATGCCAGGGCCTTTTTGAATTTGTTCTTTTTGACGCCCTTGTCTCGCACGAAGGAGCCGATCACGACAGCATTGGACACTGCCGTGGCGACCAGTATCTCTAGCGATGCCAGAAGCGATCGGTACTGTTGCTCTCCATCATGCCAGATGACGGACGGTACCCGGTAGAGGGTGATTGCCACGAGAATCAGAGACAGGGCAAACAAAATAACAAGAGAGGCTTTGCGCTTCAAGGGCATGTGAGTCATCATGATAAATGGGATCGGAAATGCCACCAGCAGCAGATCTGTGATCACGTCGCAGGTCCCCATCACGATCAGGTTCGCATATCCAAGACGGCACTTCGGCCCTGGATCCGGCACGACCTGCCAGTAATGGTCAAACGGAGTGCATTCCGCGAGAGTAGCAATGACGACCGCGAGCAGGGTCGAGGCCAAGAAATAGTAGAGGGATTTGCGGAAAATATCGAGGGACCGTCGCCAGATCATACCCGAGACACGTTTCAAAAACTCGCATACGGTGAATTTTGCCGTCCAGATACTGCTCCCACTGTGTTAGCGCATGTGTCAAGTCACGAAATCAGCAGAGAGATTTGATCGCTCACAAGACAGCATAGAAGATGCGAGCGACCAATACCAGCTTGCTGCCAACAACCCTATAATTGATGTTCTCGGTAGACAGTCCGGCAGTCTTCGTGTTATTCGTACCCCATATCAAAATGACATGCACGCAGGCCATGCGGATCAGTAGCGGAATCACGCCAGCTAGCATAACCTTGTCTTCCATAAAGAAACGCTCGGTCCGGACGTAGCGTCCGCATACTCGAGTGACGATGATTGCAAGAGAAAACCCAGTCGCCCACCAGCTAACAAGAAGGGTGGAGTTGTTGTCCAGCTTAGTTCGAGGATTTGGGGGCGTGCTGTCGAAAAGCCCACGAGAACCCAGCATCCATTGTATACTCATGGCCGCCGAGCCACCTCCGAAGAGGGGCCAGTGGACGCTATGGGAGGGCGATCTCGATCTGTAAGTGATGGCGTGCTTCGCGCGCTTGGAGGTGGATTATTGTATACTATAATGACACTTCGCTTCGCATTCGAATGTCTCAAATCGGGGGAAATGTCATCGATGAGCACGTGCCCTCGAACTGGGGTACGTGTGGGGGAGCCGGGGCCAAGAAGAGGAGCCCCGGAGAATAATACCAGTCGGAGTTCCCAACAGAGGGTCTCGGTGGGTGGAGAAGACGTTAACCGTGTGATGATTGTCTGCGTAACTGCTAAGAAAGGAAGATGGCGGGAGATACCCCTTTGAGTAAGATCCCGGAAGAGGTTGAACATGACACTACTTTCTCACAGGCGACGAGAGAGGGGTAGAGGTTGTCAACTTGTCAACAGTGAAGGAAAGCGCGAAACTCATCCGGATTCACCGCCGTTGTGACGTCCAAGTTATTATATCAATGTCCGCGGTCAACCGAGAGTCTGTTTGGGGGATCTTCTAGGCGAGATTCCGGTTGCGACCGAGTCGCGCGAGAGCAAGCAGGGGTGTGTTAACAAGAGGTAGCTGTCACATCGTGATTGTCAGCCCGGCTGGTGAACCATGTTATATTCTCAGTGGGACTCATGGCGAGCCAGGATCTGACTGTTGGGGTCAAGGCGTTCCGATAAACTTCGCTGGCCGGTGAGGAGATAACGCTGGCCGACGGAAATTTAGGGGGGCAAGACGGGCAAGAAAGACGCCTGGGCCTTATCTTGGTCAAGGCTGGATTTGACGGAAGTCGGGGAAAATTGGACCAGAAGGAGTCGAGGCAATGGACCAGCCAGGGGAAAGCGATAGAGCCAGGATTGCACCATGGCGTTTAAGTCAGCCAATGGGTTGGGATATGACAGGCTGGTCGGATACGAAGCCCAGCAGCAGATGGGGTTGCAAGCTTGTGATATGCCTGGTCCATTTGCCACCGGGGGTTTGGTTTGGTTTTGCTTTTCTTTCTTCGTTTGCTGCATGTGAGCTGGAGCTGGAGCTTCCAGCAGTTCCAGCTCGAGCTGGTGGAGGAAAACAAAAGGAGAGAAGATGGGCTTTCGAAAGAGCTTTCAACAAGAATAATAACACGTGCAGGTGAAGGTACACCAGATTAGGTTTCGTATGCAAGCAATTCAATTGCCCGCCTGTGTTGACCATGCGATAAAGTCATTGTACTCGTATCACTCAACCTCGAGGTGAGTGAGTGAGTGGAGATAAGCCGATCTACCGACACGAGGGAAAGGGCGATCTCCGAGGATATCAATCACATCACATCATCACCTTCTCATTTTACGGACTACGGACTATATACAAGAAACACTCACCCACCTTTACTATCCAAACCTTCCTGAGGAAAGGAACGGAGCGCCCACGACTCCCCGCCAATTGCCCGATAGCCAAGTCTCCATGCGCGAGTCAGGCGTCCTTTATTCGAAATGAATCCTGGTCGGTTGCCTCGATACCGTGGACACCCGAGGTGGTGCCTTCCAGCAATCAATCATATGAGCACTATCTGTAAATATCCTGGAAACTCGAGGAAGAAAAAGTATAAATACAGCACTTCGGTGTGATTCGTTCTATAATCTCCGGAGTAATAATATGCGCCATGGGTTTTGTTTGCGAGCCAGGGACAGATAAGTGTTGAGCCACAGCATAAACGCGATTCCTACCGTTCATCTCCAATCTCCCCTGTTCGTATACGTATACGTGGTCTGCAAGCTGGTCAGGGGTAAGGTCCAGGTTTCAAGGAACTACCGACAGCATACGTTACGCTAGGGTAGAGGAGGAGCCGGGCTTTGCCTTGCGCTGCGTGAAAATCTCATTTCTATCTATGCATGGTCTGTCTGTCTTTGACTAAGTCAGTTAGATTAGGCTCCAGGCAAATGGCCCGATATTACAACAACCCAAAGAATCTAGATTTCCCCGAGGATACCGCCAAGAAACACCCCCCCCCCCCCTTCCCCTTTCCCCGATTTCATCAGTTCTGGCTCACTTGCTCTCTCACCGAGTCAATGCTCTCCCCTTTGTGGAGACCACCGAGAACGGTTCGAATCTCCCGTAGGAATCGGGTGACTTCCTCTTCCGTGCCCACAGTGATTCGGAGACAGCCCTCACATCCGAGTTCCTTACCTCGGAAGCGCACCACAACACCACGCTTCTCGGCCATGGCTTCATAAGCCGCCTGAGCGATCACATTGCTGGGCTTGCCACCTTGGCTGGCCGGCTTGTCCAGGATCTCCACCAGAAGGAAGTTGGACTCCTTCCCGCCGCGGAAGCGCCCGATACCGGGGATCTGCGGCAGCTCCTGGACCAGGCGGTCGCGCTGGGCGACAATCAGGTCGCGGTACTTCTGCATCACGGCCTGGTGGGTCGGGGAGAGCGCCGCGGTCGCAAGCGCACTCGTGGGGCTGGAGATGTTGTAGGGTGCCTTGAGGCTGTTCAGCAGCGTCGCGATCGGGGGGCTCGTGAAGCACACGCCCAATCGGATGCCCGCCAGGCCGAAGGCCTTGCTCAGCGTCTGCATGACCGCCAGGTTGGGCCATTCATTGACCCATTCGGCCAGACTCGAGCCCTCCGGCGCGAAGTCGATGTACGCCTCGTCCACCACCACGACCCCGTTCCACGTCGGGTGCTCCAGCACCTTCTGGATGTCCGACTTCTTGATCAGGTTGGCAGTGGGGTTGCCGGGGGAGCAGATGTACACCAGCTTGATCGAGGGGTCCGCCGACAGGGCCTCGTTGATCTTGTCCGGCTGCAGCTGGAAGTCGTTGTTCACGTCCAGTGGTACCTGCACGATCTCGACATCATTGGTCTGTGCGCTGACGCTGTACATGCCATACGTAGGGGGGCACGTCAGGATCTTATCCTTTCCTGGTACGCAGAAGCAGCGCAGGAGCGCATCGATCGCCTCGTCGGATCCGACGC